TTTTCTAAAGCGCAGTTATACAGTTTGTCACTAAAACATTTCCTTTGCGGTCGACACATTTCAACTACATTTTTATTCTGATTAATCACAATGTAGTTGTCAATTGTGATCTAAATTAAGCATAATTAATCGTGCCTAAAATGACTTGTGGTAGATGTAGTCTTTAAGGGGAATCAGTGCCAATAATTGAATATCAGGGACATAACAAATCAATGATTACAGCAGTAATTCCTACAGGGGGCACTACAGTAAATGGGTAGAAAAGCACCTTCTTGTTCATGTTGGTCGTTTGAAAAGCACAGAGTAAGGTCATGTGATTGTGTGACTTGATCTCCTGTCGTCACTGTTTGGCTTCATACCATTGGAACGGTTTTTATTTCCCTTGGATGAGTGGGTCTGATAAACCCTTCAGGGGAATCAATTCTGATTTTGATTCATCCAACTGTAGAATTTTCACAGAACATATTGACATCTGACACAGAACTCGATGGAGTCGACATTCTGCTAAGTTAAAGAAATGGCTCAAAGAGATTTTTTTTTTTTGTGCCCAATTCACGTCTACAAATGTAGTGCAGGAATGAAAACATTTATTTACAGTAGGGTCTTACAACTAGTGTTGCCATGGAAACAAGAAATCTGAAAGGTTTTCCTAAACTTTACCAAACTTTCATCACAGTTTTTACATGATTCACATTCGCCACTGTAAAAATGCTATCACTCCCCTGCAGGTGGCGTTGTTAGGACAGTTGTAATCCAATTCTCCAAACGTCTGAAAAATGATTTTGAAAAGTTGTATCTTCTAACCTGGCAACAAGTATTATCCTCAAGAACAAGGAATAAACTTTACATTTAAAATTGATGTATATAAAAGAGATTTTTTTTTTATTTTCTGCTTGAATTTGTACAAATATCAGTGTCGTCTAAGCTAGGCTAAGCTAATGTGGCTAAACCACTACCACTCACTTCTTCTGTGCTATTAATCCTCAGCTTTGTAGTGATAACTGCCACCTACTGGTTGAAAAAACGAATCACATTTTACAAAGAGCACACTTTCCCTCTATTGAACATATTTTTATCCTGTAATGTGTTCATCTTTTGATTATATACTTGGCATTAACCACAGACTCTGAGTTTTTCCATCTCTGGTATTTATTATTCCTGAATTAAGGATTAAGGATTCAGCTCAGGGATCTCGGCAGCTAAAGATATGACGGTTTTGCCCCTAGAAATAGGAAAGGTAAGGAGTGATGGAACTGCACAGGGTGGCTGGTGTAGGGGGGGGGGGGGTGGGGGGGGGGGGGGGTCCCAAGGGGGTGATTTGTAGCCACTAAGAAAATATTCATTTAAAAAAAAAAAAAAGAGAGAAAAAACCTTCTTTGTACTATGATGTATAGTCCACCGGGGCTTCATGACTGGAGGAAAAGTCTTGGAGTTTCTACACTTCCAGATCAGATCAGAAACATTCTGGAATAATCAGTAAAACCGCAAACAACGCCATTAATCATGGACTAATAAAAATATTAACTGTGATTCATTATTGTTATTTCAGATTGAAGGATAGAGTTGGGTATCGCATGTAGTACTGATTACGTCCTCTCTCTCCCCTTCATTCCTGAGTCTCACTCCCTCATCATTTCTCCTTCCCTCTCCCTCTCTCTCTCTCTCTCCCTCTCTCTCTCTCCCTCTCTCCCTCCCGCTCCCATTAGTTTCAAGCAGCATCTTTAGTGCTGCTGCAAGGCTGTGAGGCAGCAGTGAAAGACTCCGTGAGAGGGGGATTGCAATCTCTGTGACAGTTTATTTTTTATTTCCCCGCTCGTCTGTCTGACTGTGAGCCGGGGAACTGGACTGGACTGTGGCTTTTCGAGGAGGGGGAGGGAAAGGTGGCGCAGGAGCGAGGGGGAGAAGTAAGAGGCAAGTTGGGCAGATGGAGGACGGCACGCAGCAGCTGGGACACTGCATGGTTGACATGAAGGAACTGAGCGCCAACCCTGAAGGACTGACTGCTGCGGGTGAGGTTACCGTCTCTGTCTGTCTCTCTGTCTGTGTCTTGGTCTGAGCCGCTGCCCCCCCCACCGCCCCCCCGTCTCCCACCTCTGAGGTGCTGCCACCGTTGAATGTCATAGTGTTTCCTCCCTCCCTCTGTGATGTCTAGTTTAAGACCATTTTCCTGTATTTGACTGGAGCAGCGTCTCTCTCTTGTCCACCAATGTGGACGGTGAAGTCCCCATTTTATAAAATATATTTCATGAATCAATGAATTAATATTTTGAATACTCGTCTTCTGAGCATTCAACCCATCAATTCAACAGTGGTTATTTCTGGACCTTTGTGCTGCCCTTTAGTTCACCCTGGGGAGTTTGGTTCATGGCTCAACTCACCACAGTCGGCAGGGATTTGAACCAGCAGTCATTCCAATTCAAACCCAATCCTAAGACTAGAGATGCTCAATTTAACTATTTAAATACTAGCATTGCTTTAGCAAGACGTTATTATTATATTTTATTAAGAAAGGCTACCTACAAACCTGACTCAATACACTCCCACCTGTTTACAACAATTTAACTACTACTTCAGGTTAACGACCAACCATGGAAGGATCCATCCATCCATCCATCCAACCGTCCTAACCGGGACCATGGAAGGATGCGATTACAAAATCACAAAAAAAAAAACCCCGACATAACTCAACTGCCTCAACTGTCAACAAATGCCTTTACTCTCAGGAGTGACTTTTACATTGACATATTTTGTGATTTTATCACCTGGCTTAGCCTTTTCTCCTTGTCTTTGTCGTAGTGTTTTTGCTGGTTTTTATGAGTGATAAATACTTCCAGTAGGTGGCAGAGCTGCTGTGATGTGGTTTGGTCTTCCGACGCTGTTTACAAAGTTTTCTTGTGAGCTGACTCCATCAATGCTCTTCATCTCCTTCACATCTATCTAAGAAACTTTGGATTCACTACTGCCACCTAATGGACTGTGTGTGCATTAGAAGTGTGGCAGATATTTTGGAATGGTAAAATCTGTTTTTTTTTTCTATAACTAATTAAAATGATCTCATTAGGTCTAAACATTGGGGTTGGGGACAGGGGGAGGGGGTGATGACAGCTATGATGACAAAGCACAACAGTGATTCTAATGGTGTTTAACTAAACAGATTGAATTCCCTGCGGTTTTGTTGTTCCGTCCTGACAACTTATGCCTTCGGCTCTTATTGCCGCCATTATTACAGTGAAAACTTTTACTTGTCTAACAATGAAAAATCGCTCCCAAGTCGTTCATTTGAAATATTTAAAGCGATACAAACACACTAGTCTTTACCAGTCCACTGGGATGAGAGTCTAAATGTTTTTGACACTTCTGGAACAAAATTACATTTTCGTTTCTGTTAAAAGTCTCGGGAGAAACTTACTGACTGCAATTTTGCAGGAGTCCAATTATCTTTAATTATGTCAGTGGAGAAATAAAAACATTGTCACGGAATAGTCTGACCTTTTCTTCAACAAACCCTGGTTCGCATTGGTTTGTAACAGAGAAGAGTTCGTACGATGTAAGTGTAAACATGTGTTTATGTAGATGGAAGCCCGTCGGCCCAATTGGTTTGTTTTGTTTTGTTTTTTTTCCCTGCTGTAAATCTGTTATCACTTATCACTAATGAGCACTAGCTGGGGCTAACCAGGCGATCCGGTGGCCATCACAACAACAGGATGCTGAAGATTTGATCCATGTCAGTGCTGCCTCAGAGCCCGTTCTCACGTCTGATACCTTAGCTAACCGAAAGGAGACTCACCGCTGGCAGCACTTGTTAGCATTTACATTGGCAGACGATCATCATCGTCATCATCCCCGTGGGCACGAAACAGAGCGCTACAAAGAAGAGAGAACGCACAACTCAATTCTCCTCACTCTTTTGCGTCTCACACACACAGAGATACACACTCAGGCAGCGTGTATATCCTGAATTCTGAAAGGTGCTTTTCTTATGATAGTCATCCAAAGTCAGGTGAATACACATTATTAACATGCACTCTCTCATTGGCAGATGTTCACTCTGACATTAACGACCCAGACTGGAGGGCTCAGATGTGTGTCTTCACATGTTTTACCTAAATATTATTTACATACACAGTCTCATGCTTGATACTTGGTGACGAATTCAGGGTCATGACCAACCAACTTTTAAATTTTTTTTGTGTCACTTATTATTTATGTTTAATGAAATTTTACAAAATATACACAAAGGATATTTTTTGGATTATGTTTAATGAAATTTTACAAAATATTCCAAAAAATATCCTTTGTGTATGTTTTTTTTATTTTCAAAATTAATCAAGCGGGCCAAATTGAGCATCCTAGCGGGCTGGTTTTGGCCCGCTGGCCATATGTTTGACACCCCTGCTCTACATGTTGGTCTCTGGAGGTCATTTTTAACACAGTGTCAGTGGTTTGATCCAGTGCTTCACTGGTCAACCATGTTCATATAGGTATGTATTCCTGTATATTTGACACCAAATACTGGGCTTTAATGTACATCAATGAAGTTCTGCTGTAGGTGTTGACTCAGAGTAGAAAAGCTGATCACAGTCCTCTGTTATACTGTGTGGTCTACCACCAAAGGCACACAGAAAATAACAGCTGCAGGAGTGGGAGTAGAACAACAATGATAAATACCTTATTACACCACTGTTTGGTTTTCCTCAGCTTTCTGCAGACAAAAGAAAGAAGCAAAGCGTTTAATTACACGTGTTTGGCACAAAAGACGAGTCGACAACCGCACATTTTGAGTTGCAAGGTGGAATAGTTTATCTCCTCCCTGTGACAGGAGAGAAAAGAGGGAGCGAAGGTGGGACCGAACTGTCATGTAACGAACTGGAAGGGTAGAATTATGTCGTTTTAAATGGTAACCACTTCTCCAGGGATTTGCTCGTACTCAGGTTTCTTTCAATTAATGTCTGACGAGTTTTCTGCAAATTATCACAAAACTTGTATGAATCAAATTACGGCTTACTCTGAACCTCTGCCCTCCACTGATGCAACACTGAAAACCTGTTCAGTACATTCAGCAGATTCACAACACTTCATTAAACACCAGTAACAAAACCATCTGTACCCCGCGCCCCCAACCCTCAGTTTCCCACGACAGTAATGTGTCGGTAACTCACGCTAGCGTTCAGCACCGCTTGTCTTAATGTAATGTCTGTTATTCTAACGTCAGTGAAGGTGACGGTACATTAGCCTGGCTGATGAATTAATTATTGGACAGGAAGGTTGTGTTATTAAGGCGAGGAAGGAAGAGTGACGTCTGACGAAACCATCTGCTGTAGGAGACAACAAGACGACGGTGAGGACAGGGATGGTCGGTGGTTGAATCACGGACCACAGTTGGTCCTACAATTTGTCAGGGAGGTCAGGTCAGGAGCAGATAGATGGGGCGTTCGTGTGAACGAAGATAAGTGACATTTAAAAGTCATGCTTAAAGGCTAAAATGCTAAAATGCTTTTAGCCCTTTCTACACCATCTATTGGGGAAACATGGGCATTGCAGGGAAAAATGCAGAGTTTGGCAGACTGAGTTAAAAAGCTGAATGGGCCACATCCGGCCCCCGAGCTGTAGTTTGTCCACGCCTGCTCTATACAGTACTGCTGTCGCTTTGGCTACTGGAGAGAACGAAGCAGTCAGTTGTTCATTTCTCTCTTGGCCTCTGGTCACGTAGCTGCTCATGTTTTTTTCTTATTATTAATAATGGGGTCTTGGTGGATTCCTGTGTCAGTGCTGCTTCTGGGACGAGTGATTGTGACCGTTGGTTAAGAAGATAATAAAATATCATCTCAGGCCAATCAGAGGTAAAGAGTGAACTTTTGACATTTCCACTCCTCTCAGGTGACGTGAACCAATCAGTTTTCCTGTTAATGCCACAGATACAGTCGACTGTCTCTCTGAGATAACATGTACAGTTCAATTATTGACATTGCTGGAAGGATCCAGAGTAAATACTATTTCAAATTATAAAGAGGATTTAATTTTAGGCGCGGGCTCATACATGTCATATCTATTCATGAAGAGGATAAGGAGCAGTGATTAGGGAATGTGTGCCGGGGGCTTTGAGACGGGGTTCAACGAAGCTCTGGTTGGAATTTGTTTGGTTTTCGTAGGAGGGATTTCAGCATCCAAAGAGGCCGCGACCATGACGTGCCCTATTTTGGAGCTATTTCTCAATTATTTAGTGCAGAGTCAGGAAAAGGCAGTATGAACCCCCCCATTCCCCCCCTCCCCCACTTGTCCCTTCCACTGTTTCTGCACAAAGCGATTGAGCGGTTACCATGCTGAGAAAGCAGGGCAACCAGAAGGGAGGAGGGTTAAGTGATCATCTGTGAGACAGACAATTTAAGTCCCTGTGCATTAATTAACTTTGTCATTCCAGAGAAATCACCTGGTCTGCCCACATCCTAATAAATTACCCCCTCACTCCCTTCAGCCTGGCTTTTCCCCGCTGATACCACCGGGCAGACAGCGAGGTGATAGATTGGAGCTACAGCGCTGTTATTTCTAGAGCCAGAAGAAAGTGGAATATTTGGCGGGCACACCTCATTTGCTCTCAGCCCCTGTGGGAGTTACATCTGCATGTTGCTGCCTGTTTGCTGCCTGTTTGCTGCCTGCCGCCGTGCTGAGCAGCGCTCATTACCATATTCATAATGCTACGCCGTATCCATTATAAACATCACACCTGGGCCACTTATCTCCACGTACGTAACCCACACATCGGCGCTGGACGGTGCTGAGATTCACGTGCTACAGTAAATGTGATGTAGATGAGTGTAATTAGACCTTTTTGTTTTTTGTTTTTTTTAGCAACCTGATTCTCACCCAGGGTTAATCACATGCATGTGTTCGTTGCTCCAGACAAAAAATGAAAAAAAGAAAAAAAGAGTCAGTGTTTATAACAGGTGTTCTGTCCTGAGGTGATGCATGCATAATTTCTCCATGATTTTAATAACGAGCTCCATAATCTTTTAATGCCTCTTCTAATAATGAGATCAAGACACCAGATCCTGACACCGCGAGTGTTGTCGAATAAAAAAAAAAACATACATTTTTAACACTCTACACTTGTTGACACCACAGATTGATGGCGTTCTTCTCAGCTAAACTCAAGCTGCGGTCCCAGCTGAGGCCGTGGCGCCAGAGATGGGACCCAACAGCTGGCGCTCCTTGGAGCCCACCTAGTTAAAGGGCTCTTTGTTGCCACCACACAACGTGTCATCCAGGCTTATTAAAGTTTCATCAGCTCTTACAAGGAAGCTGGGGTGGTGACAACATGAAGAAACACGATCCCCCAGGAATGAAATAATGATGAGGCCACTGTGAAACGCCAACAGCAGCGCCGACAACTTATTTACATGTATAATTGGCCTGTTTGTTTGTCCCTACGTGTTTACTTTTCCGGGTTCTGGAGCTGTTTGTGCACCTGATTAATTAGACAAGATTTACTCCAATGCAAAACACAAATTGCAGAAGTTTGCATAAGCCCGGTTCGTCACGTGCAGCCTGTCATAGCAAGTGTGGGCCTAATTAACCGGAACATAGGGAAGACATTGGTGACGGGGAGTCGTATTTGCTGCTCAGTGACTGGTTAGTCTGTGGGATGCAGCCACTGTTAATTCTAGTTGTTAATTGTTGCTCTACATCGATGGTTCCCAAACTTTTGATTCATTAAAATAAGCTTGAAACTTAAAAAATTGACTCCGAATCACCACCACATTCTTTAACTTGCGCACCCCCTAGTGGCGTCTTGTGCAACCCCAGGGAAGCTTGCACCACACAGGGAAGAAAAAAAACTGTTAAATGTTTTTATGAACACTAATTTGTGAATTTTTCAATTGGATTATAATGTAGTATATGTGTATAAAAATAGTTTCCAAATAAAAAAATGTTTTTCATGTGGAGGTTCCTGTAAAAATACATCGAAGGTTACTCTTTGTCCAAAACAAAAAAAAAAATCCAAACTTTCTTAGACTTAATATTTAAGCCTAAAACAATAGCACAAGTAAATAACCCTCTGTCTGTATGTGAAGAATTACTTTTAGTTGTGTTGGACCCATACATCACCAAGCATCGACTATCCATGGCCCATTAGTGAGGTTGATGAGCCTTACAGAGGCCAATTGTGTCTAAGCAACCCAGAGAGGAAAAAGCTATTTAGTGGGTTAGGATTCTCCGAGTGTCGGACCATCACCCAGGTATTCCATCAGTTTGCTCTTTGAATAGTCGGCTGTTGATGAATGACAAACAGCGCCGTTGACTGATGATACATGTCATCAAACCTCGACTCATCATGATGACACAGTCTCCCTGGGACAATAGTTAACTGGAACTGTGCTTTAAAAGAACTCCCCTCATTGAATGAGCCATTTTTTTCCCTCCAAAATATAATAGATGGCTAACACTTATCACTTCAGGACATCGGCCAAAGTCAATGTTAGACAGTGCTGTGTTTGGAGAGTCTGCTCCTGGGTTTCTACTCGTTGAACTGACGGATGAGTTTCTACTGTGAAATGTCTACTGAAAACAAGTTTTGTGGTTAGCTTAGCCACACAACATGCTAACAACAGTTTTTTTAAAGATTCTCTTATATTTTATATAAGACCATTAAATCACAGACTTTTGTGACTGACTTCAACTTCAGGTGCCATTATGATGATGTGAGTCATGATTTTGACCATTAAATCACAGACTTTTGTGACTTCAACTTCAGGTGCCATTGTGATGATGTGAGTCATGATTTAAAAAACCTGCTGTTGTTTGGTTTTCTATTGCCAAAGGTTTTTCATCCTGAGAAATGTTTAATTATCGTGATTAATCATCAATAATCGTGACTAATCGTGATTCATTTCTATAACAATTAATCATGATTATTCATTATCTGATTATCTCCAGCCGTCTTGTGATTAACCAGATTAAAACTGTTGATCATGTGACTGTCTTTTCCTTTATTCCACAGTCTGTTCCATCAGTCTCCAATCATGTGATTGTCACCTTTATATTATGAACAGAAAACCACTGGTCAGGGATAAAAACATAGTTTGGAGAAACAGTTTTGTTCACTTGAAAAATACTGATTAACTACCGGAAACATCACACAGAGATTTTCTGAGCAGGAAATGTTTGGTTTCTTTTCCCGACACTTGAAAAATGTCTTGAAAAAAAATTGAAGATGTTGGGTTTTGGTTCTGGGGAATTGTTGTGTGATTTAAGAGCTTTGACTTTGAATTGTTTGTAATATGTGTGATTTTCTGGGATGTTTCATGTCACTCTGTCTTTACCTCCTGTCTTCTCTCTCTCCCTCCGTCTCTCAGGCGTTCTCCTAACACCCAGACTGCACCAAGTGGAGCTCAGCTTCGGTAAGTCCTGTGTTTATTCTCCGAATCCTGGGTAATTTTACCGGAGAGGGAAGTACTAAAAATAGAGCTTTCCCAACCGTTTGTTGACGTCTCCGCAGGCACTCTGAAGCAAGACGCGTTACGACCGTGTCATGCTTTTAGTGATGTCACCGTCTTTTCCTCCTAAGGCTCGAACAACAACAACAAACAAATATACAACAAACAATGAGTTTTTACAGTGTGACAGTCACTACTTCAGATTGTACCACCTGTTAAATCGGCACCGACCACATGACACGTTCAGACGGAAACGGTTTATTTGAATCATTTATAATTATTATCGGCATTGTCATGTAAACATATACTGGCTGTTCTCTCAGTGACCTCTGCCCCCTCTCTGCCCCCCCTCCCCCAGGGTCAACAACCCATTTAACTCATCTGACTGATGAAATCTCTTTGAATGTGTTTTTAACTCCACTCACACTCTGTGATTATTCCTGACATTTACCAGTCCTGGTGCTGTCGTTGTCATTAAATCAGGCTTAAGGGCATTTGTTCAGTGTGTAACTTACTGTGAGTCATTCATTTAAAAGATAAATTCCCTGGCACACACACACACACACACTCAGTATACGCCACCATTCCAGTATTTATATTTAACGTGCAGTTTTGTAATGTCTTGTTTGGTTTGTTAATGTGAATGTGATGTGTTTTCATTCAAACATTGCTTTCTTTTTTATTTTTATTTTTTTTTAAATTGCATTGGATTCCAAAGACGTCCCACATTCTCAACTTTAAATAAAACCTGCTGTATTTGTGGCATTGGGAGGATTCACTTCTACAGTGTAACACAGTTTATTCTCCTTTAGAATTAAATACATTTTCTTCACCTAGTTGTGATAAATGAACCTAGATTGTAGTTTGACAATACAATAAAATAACTGAAATAAGTAAAATTATCCCAAAAAAAAAAAATCAAATATTTGTCCCCAATTTCAAATGTTTACAATACGTACTTTCTGGCATAAAGAAGTTACAAATCAAAACATTTTCCTTTCACGAGATCAAGTCTAAAACCTGTCAAATATATTTTCAGAATTAGAGGGAG